GTGCATTACACTACTGCTTTCCATAGAGTTTCTACTGATAATTAGTCACTTTATATTTATCAAAATTGAGCAAATATTTCTCATTTTTTGAAGTGCTATTTTTTGCGATTTGTGCCAAGTTTTTCTTCTTCTGGTACTGTACACACACCTCGTATCCCGCCGATTCGGAGGGTCCCTCATTTGAAGATGGTGTGAGATGGCGTTCAAGTGAGGGACTATGGGATATTTCCGTTTGAGACAGCCGCCAACCCTGTCTTGTGCTGAGTAAAGGATGGCTGCAGTTGCGCCCAAATGGCAATATCCCACCAGATCACCGCTACGTTGAATTAAAGTACGCAGCCACGCCCTCCTCATGTCCGTGATATGACGTGTAAACGCAATCCTTCGCGGAAAGTACTTTTAATGAGGCATGTTATTGTGGATTAAACATATTTTCTTGACATACTTTATCTGTATCCCGCTCTTCAAATTCGCCACTCATTCATTGACGTTGTAGGCTAGATCGTCAGTAACGCTGCAACCGATATCCGTAGATTTACCCGATGCCGAAGAAATTGATGATTTGCGACCTGTTCGTGAGTTGCTTCCTGAGCGGACTCCAGGCGCCCCCACTGTGGTACGTAATCCCATTCCACATTTTTCTCTATTTCTTGCAATTCGTTCTTATCATTTGCTACCCTTCCTGAACCATCTTTCAATTTTGAAGGTTCGTGTTGAAAACCACCCGTACGCCGGTGTCGTTCCATCGCGGGCTCGCCAGCTCGTCCGAAGTATGGCGATGTGTGGAGATGACGACACACGATTACGTCCACCACCTCCACCATCCATGCTGAAAAGCTACGCTTCCGTGGCTGCAATAGGGGTACCCCCACGACCACATCGAAACTCCTCGTCACTTAGTCGAGGTGAGGGCTCTGTCTTCCTGATGGTATCACTTTCAGAATTTAAAGACACAATGCAATCAGATTGCGTGGGAGGAGAAGAGGGCGGAGACTAAGCAGGATTCTGTCCCCACCCACTAATGTACCAGTTGACTCATGAACATTGTTTAGAGTCATCGTCCTATACTGACTACGCCACAGACTTGACCGAGATGGAACTTCGTGCTTTCATTGCTGCGACGTTGCATAAAAATCCACGAGATCGATCTTTGATATTAGAGCTGGAGCAGCTGTTCATTGATTTCCTCAACAATTTTGGGTATGGCTTTAGTAGTTGCAACTGACTAGTTTGGAATGAAGCGAGGAATGAAGCAATAATAATTTTCAGGGAACAATCAATGAAACTGCCACCGGTGTCGTCATATAACCGTATGATAATACACCGGCTAGCCGTACTCTTTGGACTCGATCATAACGTCGACAACAGCGGAAAATGTGTGGTAGTATCGAAGACGTCCAAGTCTAAGCAGTACGTTTTTGCGTAAAAGCTCTTTCCACAATAGCCTATGGTCGAGCTCACGAGCTTGAAATTGGAAGTAGAAGTGCTAAATAGCTTGGGTGTGTCACAAGACAATCACAGTATTTCGTGCTGGGCGTGGCTAGCGGCGCCGCACACGCGAGATGCAGGTTGTCCTGCACGGCTGTTTGAATTCTAATATAAGAGAGTAAGATCGATGTCACCCGGCGTGGAGTCTTACCTCCGCTTTGACCCTCAGGAGTTGCGCTGCTTGAGTCGGCTAACTGATGCACACCCAGAACTTGCCGCTTGTCGCTACGCGATGCGCCGCTCGCGACGGCGCGAAAAATTGCAGTTCTCTTGTCTGCAGCCTCTCATTTGGCGGACAATCTATCTTAATCATAGAATATGTAGTTTTATTCTCGTAGTGTGTACCCTTGATTTACCATAATTTCTCTAAACTTGTGATATTTTTTCAGGCCATCATTTCTGTTTACGAGCCTTATTCAAAGCAACATTTACACTGATACTCGAAGGTACTACAATGGTGTTTGGAATTATGGAGAGGTAATATTTGCTGTACTTTTTGAGGTCTTGTGGCTTTCTGCATTAGTACGTGATAGGGCGAGACTCCACAATCATCCTTCTAAGTAACGCGCTGCTATTTCCACCATAGTGACAGAAGCGGAGGAGAGGAATGGTTATGCGCCTCCGCTCATTCGATTACCACCGATTGAAGGCTTCATCGCCAACTGCTAATTCGATGTCTTTTAGCCGAAAGCACAATCGTTCGATGCTGGATACGCAGTCCCACAAGTCGAGTATGAGCCAGCGTACCAGGTATGTGTACCAAAAAGTGCGCGCTGGGGCGCGTTCACCTGCGGTTGTATTTTACTTTTACTCCGGTCTGGACAGGCACTACTGAAACAAGAATGATTGCAATGAGCGGAGAGTTGGCGACGTTGGCGCGTCTTAGAGAGGTTCATCGCGCACTAGACTAGACCGGCGCTACTCTGCTCGTCTGGTACTTTCTAGTCGCGGGTTAAAGTATCAATGCCTCTCTGTGAGTGCGGAGAACTGCGTCTTGGGATGATCTTGGTGACAGAGGTATGGTGAGTCTGTTCTCCCAGTGGCATTGCTAGAAAATCGAGAATCGGGCGAGCAATCGATACCTTATCTACATGTGCTCGGTCGTCAGTTTCCTATGATGCTCTCCATTACGCCCTTCGCTCACTGTCCTGCGTTGAAAAACATTGCATAAACTACGCCTCCCTTTGATAATGATTTGTGTCTATTTTATTGATCTCCCTTACCCACCACCCATCATATCTACTAACTTCCCTAATTTTCCCAACTTCCCAATACCTTTCCTGATTTTTTGTGAAAAGTTCCTACGCTCATTTCTCACAAACAGTGCCGCCAGGCGGGGGCGGGGGCTGTAAATAGAAAAACGAGAATGTTCACCAGATGAAAAGGCAAAGACGGCATCCTCTCTTCCTTTTATGCAACAGAGTATCCCCCGCCCCCCCCCCGCGCTAGGGATCCACAACGTACGACGTGTACTGCTTCGAAAGGAATCGCTGCCTCGATAAGAGGAAGCAAAAGTGCAGACCTAATGGCTCCGCCGCTTTGCCGAGGCTACTCCGTGCGTTGTGGATCCCAAGTGGTGCCACAAAATGACACCCTCACACGGTTCCTAGTTGAAATCAACCATGAAAGAACGGAAAAAAAAACGGGGAGCTATTGGGCAAATGTAGTCTTGGCATGTCACGTGACAGCGCGTATTTCTGCCCTGCGACCAACCCACGGCAATTCTGGTCGTCTGTGCTCTGTCAGGCAAATATCCTGGCGAGGGGAAGAAACATAGACGCAATACCGTGTGGCACCCCCAGCTACACTTACGGCATATTATTTTCGATGCAGCACATATCCATTATTTTTTGCGGCGTTTTGGATTCGCTGGATTCCGCTCGGCCGACCGAATCGATCAATACATATTGATCCCTTTTGAAATCTCTCCTATTCCCCAATTCATCAACTCTTCGCGAGTCACGAACGCCCATATCGCGCGTACAGTCGCGAACGGCTTGAATGCGTATCGAATGAGTTTGCAGTCAGCGCCCGAGCCCGCTTGGTACTTCCTTTATATGTCTAGCTCGCCACGGATGTTGGGGCATGTCAGGGAGGTTGTGAATTGCGCGGCGGCGACAGCCCGTTTTCCACCAATCGTTGTCGCTTGCCCCTCCAACAATTGGTGGAACGAGCTGGCATCGCGCCAAATCCAGCTCCTCGACAGCTCTCAGCATCCGCAAGCTATGCATATTATGTGAACGGTCCTTCCTTTCATTTCCCACCAAATGCTCCGCTCATTTTGAATGGTGTATTTTCAGCCATGGTCATGGACTAGCGGAAACCATCGATCATTCGAGAAAAACACGCAACATTACTATCCAGTGGGTTATTACGATCAAAGTCCTGTGATGAGGGTGAGCCTTCATATTCAAACATCATCCTTTATGATGATCGAAGTCGATGTTTTTCCTTTTCTTCACTGCTGAACACAGAGGAAGGGTTATGCTTTGGCTCAGCTCCCGTTTTACGGCAGGGCGGAACTGGACCAGTGCTTCTCTTTTTTTTCTACCCACCTTCGGGGATTCTTTTTTGTTCAACCTTCTGACATATTATAATTTTTCGGCTCAGTTCAGCTTTGAGGGGGCATCGTGGTGCTAGCACACCCTGTGAAGACCTGTGAATTCCTGTGACCGAAAGGCCTCACTTGATCAATTTCGCAGCTTCGCAGGAGTTCACAGGTCTGACCACGTGAAACATTTAGTTACATGAAACAAGAAATTGTGCCTGCAAAAGTGCCAAATGCTCCCTCCTAACCAAATGGCAGCAGTTTTCTTTTGGTTTTCAGAAGGCTGGTAGCTTCAGTGGTGTACCGGCGTACTATCGAGGTGGCAACGGCTCTACGGAGGCTTACGATCGGTTACACAGCAATAATGGACATGCACATTCACTGGCATCTTGTAAGTAGATTTATTTTCTAAGTATGTACCACTGAAAACTTGACGTTAGAGGGACTGCCCACGGAGTTAATGACAAGTTCGGCGCCAATTGAGTGCTTTTGCATTGTTGACGGTTATAGCAGAGAAGAGTAAGAGGTCCATCAATGTCGCTCAATGACATAGTCCACGTTGGTCATGTGGGCGGAGGCCGTCAGCAATTACTCTTTTCTGAATGCCCTTCTTAGGCGATGAAGAGAAGAGGCACAATAAGGAATAGGAGTGCAGAATAATTGACTTTCTCTTCCCATGGATTTGACCTGAACAGTGCCTTTGGCAATTGCATGACGTCTTCAAGTTGAAGTGTAGCGCAGTCTTCTTCGTTGCGGAT